TACAACAATCTATTGCTAACTTTTCTCATCTCATACATGATTACATTCACATACAAAATTATAAATCGTATGTAACTTATACAAAATTAACCCTACATTAACAAAATTTCATCTCTTAGTCTATTTTGATTGTGGCTTACGAGACCGTTTAATATTTCATCCGCATCATCACATAAATGCCAAACAATCTGTAGACTATAGTCTCCCGCAATCATGGCCGGAATCAGTTCTGTAACTGGGATTATCCAGGTTAATCATGTTGACTGCATAGCCAATAAAACCTAGGGGTCCAAATGGTAAGCTAACAATTGATAAGGTAAGATTCCTTTGAGCATTTAGGGTTTAGAGCCCTCCAACGTAAGAAGTGCATGATTGAACATTACATATAATAGTTGTATTCAGTTGTTGAAGAATTGTTCTTAATTTTATATAAGGATAGTTGTTATGATATAAGTTCACGTTTCGGGACCAATTAGTTAGATGCGTATAGTAGCCTATATCCTCGAGGCAGAGCATATGAAATTTGGCACTTAAAGATTTACCAAGAGCGGTAGCTTTTGCTCTGAATGAATACCGAACCTAGAATCAACTTTACAATTATACCTATCATGCTGAAGAGAACCTGCTGAAAAATAGGATTTGCACACAACTGCAAGCATTTTAAACGCTAAACCCAACTCCTCACATGGAAAATTTTCCATAAAATGATTGACATCTCTGTTGCATAATTTTTAATGAGAGTAGTTGGGTTTAGGGTTTAAAATGCTTGCAGTTGTGTGCAAATACTATTATTCAGCAGGTTCTCTTCAGCATGATAGGCATAATTGCAAAGTTGATTCTAGGTTCGGTCTTCATGCAGAGCAAATGCTAGCGCTCTTGGTAAATCTTTAAGTGTCAGATTTCTTGTGCTTTACCTCGAGGATATAGGCTACTACACGAAAATAACTAAATGGTCCCAAAACGTGAACGTATATCATAACAACTATCCTTATATAAAATTAAGAACAATTCTTCAACAACTGAATTCAATTATTATACGTAATGTTCAATCATGCACTCCTTACGTTGGAGGGCTCTAAACCCTCAAAGGAAGCTTGCCTTACTAATTCCTAGCTTACCATTTGGACCCTGCAAGGGGTTTTATTGGCTATGTTGTCAACATGATTATGAGCTTCCTTTATCCTTTCGCATTCAGTAAGACTATAGAGATTTGAATAAATTAAATTGGATTAAATATTTTAATCCAATTACCATTTCGAGAACAATTACATGAATACATTGATACTTACTGGTCGCTTTCGATTTTCTTCAATATTGATACGCTAGGGCTCCATTTGAAGGTCATCATCTTCGCGAACAAAGATTGAACTTGCAATTCACAAACATCAAACTTTAAAACCTAACCCCTATTTTCAAAGATTTTCTAAAAAATTAAGGTTTCGACAACATACCTGTCGAACATAAGAAGGGAAAAAAGTACCCAATATGGAAATCAATACCATAATATCGAGAAATTTACAAAAATAACTGACGTAACTGTTATGAACACTGGTATTCGTCACAGAGGAAGAGAAGAGAATTGTCTTTAGGGTTTATCGATTTAGGGTTAATAGCGTTACATATAAATAATGAAGGTAGAAAAAACGTGTTATTTATAAGTATCGACACAAATCTAAAACGTGTCGATACATTATGTTCACCTATTTTGTCATAAAACCGGTACATTTATACCGGTTACATTGTAAATTTACCTATTACATTATAAATATCGGTTTCGATATTTTTTGGATCGATACTTTTTAAAACATGTATCGACACTTTATGCGTGCAACAATTTTGGCATTCATTTTGGACAAAAAGTATCGACACAAATCTAAAACGTTTCGATACATTATATTCACCTATTTTAACATAAAACTGGTATATTTATACCGGTTATATTGTAAATTTACCTATTACATTATAATTATCGTTTTCGATGTTTTTGGGATCGATACGTTTTATAAATGTATCGACACTTTATGTGTTCACCCTTTTGGGCATTTTTCTGTACAAAAAGTATCGACACAACATTAAAAAGTGTCGACATATTATGTAGACCTATTCTCACATAAAACTGATATATTTATACCGATTATATTACAAAATTATCTATTACATTATAATTATATGTTTCGATGTTTTTGGGATCGATACGTTTTAAAACATGTATCGACAGGTTATGCGTGCAACCATTTTGGCATTCATTTTGGACAAACAGTATCGACACAAATCTAAAACGTGTCGATACATTATGTTCACCTATTTTAACATAAAATCGGTATAGTTATACATGTTACATTGTAAATTTACCTATTACATTATATTTATGGGTTTCGATGTTTCTGGTATCGATACTTTTTATAAATATATCGACACTTTATGCGTTCATCATTTTGGGCATTCATTCTGGACAAAATGTATTGACACAAAATAAAAAAGTATTGATACATTATGTAGATCTATTCTCATATAAAACTGGTATATTTATACTGGTTATATTATAAAATTATCTATTATATTATAATTATGGGTTTTGATATTTTTAGGATCGACACTTTGTATAAATGTATCGACACTTAGTGGTGTACCCTTTTTGGGCATTCATTATGGACCAAAAGTATCGACACAAATTACACAAGTGTCGATACATATTGTACACCTATTCTCTCATAAAACTAGTATAGGTATACCGGTTACATTGAAAAATTACCTATTATATTATAATTATGGTTTTCGATGTTTCTGGGATCGACACTTCTTATAAATGTATTGACACTTAGTGGTGCACCCGTTTTGGGCATTCCTTTTGGACCAAAAGTATCGACATAAATTACTCGAGTGTCGATACATATTGTACATATATTCTCTCATAAAATCGATATATGTATACCGATTACATTGAAAAATTACCTATTACATTATAATTATGGGTTTCGATGTTTCTGGGATCGATACTTGTTTATAAATGTATCGACACTTTTTACGTGCACCTTTTTGGGTATTCATTCTGGAGAAACAGTATCGACACAAATTCTAGAAGTGTCGATACATTATGTAGACGTATTCTCTCATAAAACATGTTTAGTTATACCAGTTACATTGAAAAATTACCTATTACATTATAATTATGGGTTTCGATGTTTCTAGGATCGACACTTTCAATAAATGTATCGACACGTTATGCGTTCATCATTTTGGGCATTCATTCTGGACAAAAAGTATCGACACATAATGAAAAAGTGTTGATACATTATGTAGACATATTCTCACATAAAACCCGTATATTTATATCGGTTATATTACAAAATTACCTATTATATTATAATTATGGGTTTCGATGTTTTTGGGATCGACATTTTTTATAAACGTATCGACACATATGCTTACCTATGTTTTGGAAACTTAACGTTTGGGAACCATACTGGATAAAATGTTGGAAACAAATCTTTGTGTTTATTAATTTTTCATTAAAAAATCTATTTTTACCAACTACATTGTAAATTTATCTTTTACTTTAAAGTTATTGAATTTTGTAGTTATTGTATATATCCTCCATATGGAATGGCCATTAAGTCCAACACATGATGACAATTATGATGACATTTGGAATAATGCAGACAACGATCTGCATATATTGTAAGTATCAACATGACTCTTACTGTATATAAGAAACATGTACAACAACCTACTGCTAACTTTTCTCATCTCATACATAATTACATCCACATACAAAATTATAAATCGTATACAAAATTATAAATCTTATACAAAATTAACTCTACATTTACATCATCGCTTACTTTTGTTATTATTGTGTCTCATGGCAGCTTTTGTTATCTCTTGTCTTCGTTGATTTTGATTGTGGCTTACGAGATCGTTTAATATTCGCGATCGATCCCACTCTCTAACAACTTATATTCAAATTGTCAGTACGTTAAGTATTGTAAACCACATCATTCAATCTACGACTTTTAACAAGTTAACCGCAAATAAATTTTTAATTCCACTTACAAAATCACCAGTTGCCCCTGTAGAACCGATCGATTCCATCCACATCATCACATACATGCCACAATAATATCTGTAACAAAATTTGAAAACCACACATGTCAATTATGAAACCTACATAAATTAAGCTTTCTATTTATGATAACATCTCATACCCATTCAATTGCTCATTCTTCTTATGCTCCACAAATTTAAACTTTTTCAAAGGAAACTTTTCTAGAGATCCACATTCTTCTACCCAATTGTGTTTCTTATTATAACTATCTAATATTTCCATCTGCATTAAAAAATATGAAGTTATGATCCAAACAAAATATGCATTATAATTTACATAATGTCCTTTCATACATACCAATCTCTTAGCATCATTCACTCTCTGTTTAGCTGCTTCAGATGTAAACAGACTATCATATATTGTTGCAACATGATCTACCATATCCAACACCAACAAATACCAATGTGAATTATGGTAGTTTATTGTGATCATGATCTGCAACAAATTTCACACCCAATTTGACAAAATTCAACATTCTATATCCGAAAACATCATTTTCAATTCGTATGGTGTCTTACCTTCTCACAGTCGGTGAATTTCACATAGTTACCCAATATGGGACTCCAAAAGGTAGCAATACTCTCAATACTTACTTTGTTGTTAGCATCCAACGCCTGTTGCTGCAATTACGTGACAATCATTATTAATTTACCATCTATAACACTACTTTTCAACATTTATTAATTTAACTCACCGCTAAGTGGTATGGAAGGTAGCCAATCATCCAGAGTGATTTTTTCGAATCGTAGCATACTGTCCAGGTGAGCAAATCAATAACCTAACAAAATTAATTACACAATCATAACATATTCAATATGTTTTAACATTTTGTACTTTCTACTTACCACACCGCCTACCCATTCCGTAGGCTTCAACGTTGCAACATCGGATATATTAGCGAATTGATTTCCCATTGAGATTACAGAATATCTATATGAATCATTAGGATTAATATCTTATCATGAAATATTTAAATATCACTCACAAAACAATATATTTTATTTACCCCGATTCTAACTCACTATTCCATAAATAATTACAAATTGCAGCGTCGATGTCATCAATTCTGCTTGGAATATCTGTTTTTTCAACCTACAATTTTGCATACAAAGTTTTGTCACAACAACATGATAAAGATCAAATTAAGTTTTCTTTTATTCAACTTACCTTCTGCTTATTCTTCTGGGGTGCAGGACATCCCGAATCCAAATCTGCATCTATAACACTCTCTGGTGTATAGATCACATCGACATCCTTCCTCCTCGTTTCCTCCGTCTTTTCTTCTTCCTCCATCTTTTCTTCTTCATATTTTTTTAGTTCATCGTATTTTTGCTCTACATAGTTCTTTATCTCTTTTATTTCACCCTTCAATTTTCCCCTTCATCCAAGTATTCATCAACCACCCCCTTCACCCCCGTAAGTTCACTCCTCAATTCCACAACCTCCTTCACCACTCCATCAATTTTTTCACCCCTCACCATTTAAAGTTCACCCCTCAACACCTCAACTTCTTTCACCACTCCATCTATTTTTCCTTCCACTTCCCCCTTATGCCTCTCAAGTGTCTCTTCGACTCTCTCAAGTGTCTCTTCGACTCTCTCAAGTTTCTCTTCGACTATCTCAAGTTTTTCTTCGACTCTTGATTGTCTTTGCATGATATCAAATTGGATTTTTTTGATATCAGTCAATTCATACATTAAAATGTCGAATTTACTCTGTTTTCCCTCACTGTCATCCCCCTCACCATCATCCCCCAATACAACCATCTATTCTTTCTTCTCCTCTGCCTCCACTACATCCTTGCCAATAACCTTCAAAATTAAATTACAATATTAAGACATTGATTATATTCTTAATATTATTTAATTACATTTATTACCCTTTCTTACTTTCTTGGTCTATCCAACTTCAACTTCGCCATCACTCTAACCATATCTTCCTTCCCCCATGAACAGATGTGTGCCACTCCGGTTCTTTCATAAGCCGACACTGCCTCACAGCCTGACCAAAAATCGAATAGTGCAACCTGCATTTATAATAAAATTTATAATTTTATATAATAATTATATTATCATTTTATATAAAAAAACAAAAATGTTCTTCAACTCATTTACCTCTAAGATTGATATGCACACTTTGAGGTATCTCTGGCTGCCCTTTTTAAAGGTAATTATTGATTCAATCAATCTCGAATGGACATATTTAGCCCATTTGAATTCACCCTTCAAGCCTTCATCGCAAATGAGCTTCATATAGTCATTGTTCGTTGACATATCACCCGTTGGACAAAGAAAGATCCCGACAAGGTACAATAAAACTCGGGCCTTCGGCTCATCCCCCCCTTAAGATCCACTTTTGATTTCCTCTTCAAGTTCATCGTATGTCACCTTCTGCTTCAAACCATATTTGGAGGCAAGTGCTTTCCAGTCCTTACTCTTAGAGACTTCTACAACACTTTTGCCTTCATTTCCTACCCCCAAGACGGCTGCAGCACATGGGATCCCGAGAGGAAATGAAAAATCACCATATTTAGCAATACATTGTTTGACATAAAATTGCGCCATCAAGGATCGACATAATTCCCTCCGAATAGGTCGATCCCTTACTCCTACCAACGATCCAAACCCTATTTCTCCTAACACATTCAACTGACCCTTCTCCTTAAGGTGTATAATTAATGAATTCACTCTTTTAATGCTACACCTTATCGACACTTCCTATATTTTTTAACAATATATAATGTTATAGTTCTTATATATTTTGTATCAACGTATTTACAAGTTTAATGAATACCTTCTTTTCATGTGCTTTCCTCCATTCTTTGTATTCTTCACTATCTATCTTTGACTGAGCGATGTAAGGTTCATTCTCATCATCACTCATCGAATTTCATTTCTCCAACACATCATTTCTCACATAATATTAAGCATAAACATTTTTTAATCAATACATTAATGCTAAATAATACTCAATGTCAATTTCAATTTACATACTGAACCGATGTGTTCGCCACCTTCCTTCATCCTTTTACATTCGGTCATACTGTCAACATTTAAAATTTATCATCAATTTAAAGTTCTTAAATACTTTAATCCAATTACCATTTCAACAATAATAACAAAAAGACATTGATACTTACTAGAAGTACATATATCCACCATTTGGTTGCTTTCGAGTCTCGACTTCAATTTCAAAGTCATCTGCACCACCAACAATATTTCCACCCATTGACTCCATTTTTCCTTCATATATCAGTTTATGCAAATCAAATCAAATACTTGTTACATACACTTTATTCAATATACAAATATATATAACTACTCTTGTGGTAAAACGGTATGGTCACTACAAAATGTGTCGGCACATTTATACAACCTAAAATATCATTTTCTACCTAAAATATTATATAATCGGTCTCAAATCCTTCTTTGCTTCAATTCGAAATCCCCAAACTAAACCCAAAAACCTTAATCCCTATTTCCTTCAAACGAATAGGAACACTCAATATTCCAAGTATCGGCACATTTATACAACCTATAATATCATTTTCTACCTATAATATTTAATAAAAGTATCGATATTTATATTTTACCTAGAATATCACTTTCTACCTGTAATCGATCACAAATGCTTCTTTACTTAGAAAACCCCAAACAATACATAAAAACCCTATTTCTGATTATTGTAATAATAAAAACTAGGGTTTCGACAACGTACTTTTCGATTCGACTGCAGCAACAAATAAACAAACTTCGCTTTAGAAACGACTTCTGAAATGCAGCAACAATTACGCTTCGATTTCAAAAACTCGTTCGTTCTATCTATTTTTCAGAGGATATTTAACTATGCCTTTTATATTTTCATAGGATATGTAATTTCTATTTAATCGATACAACTACAAAGTTTCGATACTTTTATGTCATGTGTCGATACTTTCGATAGTATAATTACATATTTCTTTGAAAGTATCGATACTTTATTATGCGTACTTATTAAAGTATCAACACTTTCAATATATCCGGTAGCACTTTACCGATTTTGTCATTTAGAGACCGGTTTTATCATATTTTACCTTTTATATCGTTATGGATCGATACATTTTTATAAAGAATCGACACTTTATAGCCGCTAAAACTGCTTCTCCTTTAAATTCACAATGTGTCGATATTTATATTAAAGTATCGACACTTTCAATATATCTGGTATCTCTTTATCGGTTTTGTCTTTTCCTGACCGGTTCTGTCATATTTTTACCTATTATATCGTTGTGGATCGATACATATTTATAAAGAATCGACACTTTATAGGCGCTAAAATTGCTTCTCTTTTAAATTCACTGTGTCAATACTTATATTAAAGTATCGAAACTTTCAATATATCTGATATCTCTTTACCGGTTTTGTCTTTTCCTTACCAGTTTTGTCATATTTTTACCAGTTATATCGTTGTGGATCGATACATATTTATAAAGAATCAACACTTTACAGGCGCTAAAACTGTTTCTCCTTTAAATTCACTATATGTCGATACTTATATTAAAGTAGCGACACTTGCAATATATCTGGTAGCACTTTACCGGTTTTGTCATATTTTTACCTATTATATCATTATGGATCGATACATATTTATAAAGAATCGACATAAACCGACAAGCTAAATTTATCGGTTGCCAAATTTTTTAATATTTCTTCATGATTTAGATTTACTATATTATTATTACTCAACATTTTTAATAGCGCTAAACCGAATTTATTAAATATATTATAAGGTATCTAGTAACATAGTATATTAGTAGTATATTAACATGTCGTGAGTAGGGGTGTAAACGAGCCGAGTCGAGCTCGAGTATTACTGAGCTCGACTCGAACTTGAAAACTATAAATCTCAGCTCGACTCGACTCGAAAACTCGCGAGCCTAAAATTTTCAAGCTCGACTCGAACTCGAAAGATAATATTAAAACTCGACTCGAACTCGAAAAAGCTCGAACTAAAAAAAATTCAAGAGCTCGACTAAAGCTCGAAACTCGAACTCAATTGAAGCTCGATTTTGAGCTCGATTCAAGCTCGATTATGAGCTCGATTAAAGCTCGATTTTGAGCTCGATTCAAGCTCGATTAAAGCTCGATTTTGAGCTCAATTCAAGCTCGATTTGAGCTCGATTTGAGCTCGATTCTGAGCTTAGCGGGTTTTATTTTCCTTTATTGAAACCCATCCACTTTTATACACTCACTTTACCTCTTATTCCCCAACAACCAACAATGTGGGATATCAAACCAACTCAAGTTCAACGCTAAGTCTGACAATCTCAACAATTTACCTTATCTGATCTAACATTGGTCTATAAAAACAGAAAAAAATCATATTAGCTTCTGCAATAGCCTTCAATGGCTTCCATCATTATACCAATATTCATCTTCTTTTTCTTCTCTTCAACTTTCTCTCTCAACGTTTCTTCAACAAATTCTCTGAACCCAAATCTCACTTCCATACGAAGCTTCTGCAAATCAACTCCATACCCAGGTTCTTGTTTCGATTCACTGAACCTTTCCATTTCAGTAAACATCAGTCCCAACATGCTTTTCTACCTCCTTCAAACCCTCAACACTGCATTATCCGAGGCTGCGAAGCTAACAAGTTTATTCTCCAATGGCGGAAATGGAAACGTGATCGTCGAGAAACAAAGAGGAGCATTGCAAGATTGCATGGAACTCCATGAATCAACACTATCTTTGTTGAAAAAAATAGTGTCGAGAATCGAAGATGAACACAAGCAAACCTAGTCTATGTTGCTCTAGTGTCTGAAAATTGACTAATAAATGAATCGTTTCAGGTGTTTCGAGATGGGAAGTGGATTGAAGAAGATGCATCTGTTCTTGTTCCCAGTGATATCATCAATGTTAAATTCGGTGACATTATTACGGCTGATGCTAGAATCCTCAACGGTGATCCGCTGAAAATCGATCAGGTTCTTTTGAAACCTGAAGTGATTCGTTTTCTTTTTCGTGTTGAACTTTGTTTTCTTGATGTTAATTCTCTTTTTCCATGTTCCAGTCAGTGTTAACTAGTGAGTCTCTTCCAGTAACAAAAGGCCCCGGTGACATTATTTACTCGGGTTCTACATGCAAACAAGGAGAGATTGAAGCTGTCGTGATCGCCACCGGTGTTCATACGTTCTTTGGCAAAGCTGCTCACCTTGT